AACGAGCACAATGCAATGTATCCTATAAAACGTAGTCTATACATACATATAAATACATACCATACCATACCATATAGCATAGAAATGAAAGAATTCCCTACCCCCAACTAAATCGGATAAGAAGTAAAACTCTAGCTTAGATTAAGCTTCTCTCAGCCATCTCTGCCATACTACGATATGCAATAATTGCTTTAGATCAAGTTCAAGTCGTTGTGATTTTTGGAAATCCCCTAAAAAAGAAATATAAAGCGTATAGCGATCCCCAGATTAAAAATAAACTATGTAAATGCAGTAGCACAATCATCCTAAGCGAGTGACAAGCGTTAAAACATAACAAAAAATCAGCAGCTTCAACAAGGTCTTTAAAATAACAACAACAACAAAAACATATGTAAAACTAGGCATACATAAACTTAATTTTCAAAACAAATCGGATGGTAAAAAGTGTTTCAATAGCTTCAACAAGGCTATATGTTTTCATTTCAATTAATTTTTGTTTATTTTTTAGTTGAATTTTACATATCAATGATCGTATTTATGTAATATAGCACACCTGGTTTCTAATACTATCAATATCAGTACAAAACAAACATCTCTATTAACTACAAACCCTTTTTATCCATCAGAAATGAAACTTTTTCTCCATCAAAAGCCTGTACATACGGATAAGTCAATAACAAAATAAACATTTTGCCGTAGCTCTTCCAAAAATACACAAAAAAAATTTAAAATTAAGCTAAAAATGTTAAAGAAAAATAATATAAATTTTAAGTTAGGAAATCAATTGAATGAAATTTGATTGTACATAAATAGTTTTCCTGTTTTATTTCCCCCTTTGGACAGCATATCAAGGCCAATGACTCTTACCCATAAGGATTTAAATAATTTTCTACAACAACAAAAACCGCTTAGACTTTATATGGAAGGACGATCTCTTTTCATTTCGCATGCAAAAGAGTGGAATGGAAAGGAAAAGTAAAACGATTTAATCGAATTTATAATGTTTAATGGCAGTTAATCGAAGTAAAACAGCAACATCTATAAATAAATATCAATTAAATTAAAGAAAATGATTAGCAATTAATTATATGCCCCCGAAAACTAGTTAGTTTATACATTTTTTTTATGTAAAACCAATTTAACAATTAGTTTCACCTTTTTCTATAAGCCGATATGGATAAATAATTAAAAGAAAAATGACAGAAAACAAAAAAAAAAACCGAATCAAATTATGAAAAATGTTTGTTGTGTTTTTTTTATGGCTAGTTTGTTTGTTCATTTTGGCTCTAGGCACCCGGTGTGCGGCAAATTAATTGCGACTGCCGCAAAGTAGGCGACAGAAAAACGTAAAATGCAAGAACTAATTAGCTGGCACGCTCGCACTCTGGCACTAACTGTGCAAATAGTTTTCTCATGCGTGTGATGGGGGTGAAGCTGTGGAGGGGTGTGCTGATATGTGACGCATTGCCGACATTGAGCAGGCTGGAGTTAAACAGTAGAATCTGAAGCAGCAGCAGGCAAGAGTATCATGGGAGAGGAGCAGCAGCAAAAGTGTCATGAGAGAGCTGAAGAAGCGAAGGAAAGCAGAAGGCAGCAAGCGGCATCTTAAGTACTGGCTAAACAGGATAGCACAGCAGAAATTAAATTGACTTTTGGCAGGCTGACGGCAGGAGAGGAAGAGAATGTTCTATGTTCTGCATCTTAATTTGAAAACATTTTCTTTAGTTACAACCTGAAAGGACACAGAAGGCAGCCCCTTCAAAAAGCACACTCAAAGGCAACCCACTGACTGTGTGCACTTAAACCGCTTCCCCGTTTAGCCAGTACTCAAAGTAGCAGCGCGAGCAGAGAGAGCGAGCGAAAGAGAGTGAGCGCGAGTCAAAGGCAGCGGCACACACAGTCATCGGCGGAGGCGTAAATCTGCAGCAAATTAAATATGCGCGCGTGTGTGTGAGTGTGTCAGAACGGCAACATCGCGTGTATGTAGCGTGAGGTAGGAGCAGCTTACGTTGGCGCCTGCCTAGTGCGAAGGGGGCGGCCCTGGGGCTGTGGGGCTGGAGCTGAGACTGCGTTTGTTTTGCCGCTTGTGCATGCAGTTAATGTGCTTATTTTAAAATTTAAATTGGCTTGCGCAGTGCGCCCTTGAGCTGGGAGTCCTCCACATAACAGAAAGAGGGAGCGCAAAGGCAGTCATCATTTAAATGTGTGTGTTTGTGGCGGTGGGGGAGTGTGTGTTTGTGCATGTGTGTTCGTTGAGGCTTCAACCAAGATTCACTTAAATAGAAAGTTTGCATTGCGCTTTTTATTTTGCTGCTTTTATCAGCAGAAAGGTATATTGCAGGGGAAGGTGGGGGCGGTGAAAGTGTTCCCTCTAAATCTCTCTCTTGCATCTTTTCTTTCATTCCTTCATTCTGCCATGCAAGTCAAAACCGCTTTTGGCTGCTTAACTGATGCACTGCCTTACCATCTCTTCCATGTACCTTGTTCTCCTGCTTCATCTTGCACTTATGCCGCTCTTGCTGCTACTCCTGCACGCTACCGCCTCTCTCTCTCTCTCTTACATTTTTCTTTGGTTTTTGCATAAGACTCTAGCTGTAATTAACAGTTACTTGCAGTGATACCATAGCCAGCGGCAGGCAAAGAGAGTGAGGAAGAGTAAGCGATAGCTTTGCGTGCGAGTGTGTCAGATATATGCAGCTAGTGCTCGCGTGTGTGTGGGAGAGTGTGTCAGGGATATGTTTGCATTAAGATAAACAACTTAATTATTTTCACAATGTGACTGCGGCTGCACTTTTGCTGCGGTTGTAAAAGGCAGCAGGAGAGAGAGAGAGAGTGACAGGCAGCGAACGAGCAAAAGGCGGAGAAGAGAGAAGAGCGAGTGTGTGCCGCTCAAGTATGTTTGCTGTTAATGAAAGCTTCAAAGCTTTCTTTGAGCTAATTAAATAAAATGGAGAAAGTGCGTGTCGAGTGTAAGAAGATTTATAATAAATGCGTTCAATTAAGGGACTTAGGGAGAGTGACTAGTGAAAGGAATAGCGAAAGTGAAGCAGAGAAACTAAAGTGCAGTGAAAAACATATTTAAAGTCTTGCCCGCAAATGTACCCATGTACTAAATTGACAGTCAAATAAAAAATACACAACCCACGTATATTTTGCAAAACCTTTGGAGTAAATAAATAGATTTTTGAGTCTTTCACATGTGTCCCAGATAAGCAAGGTATCACACCCGTAGACCCATGGCTATCTCTGCATATCACTGCGAAAAAATCTAAGTTAGTTCCAGCTTAAGGCACGTGCCCACACTTAATAGATAAAAAAACACTGAACACAAAGGCCACACAATTGATATAAATTTAACTAAATTTGTCCAGCAAACATTGTCCACATTCAACTAAATTTAGGCACAGTGTTGGCATAATTCAGAGCTTGCTCATTTTTTTAATTTGCGTTTTGCTAAAAATAAACTCTAACCCAGCGGGGCATGCACTTTTCAACTTAAACTTATAAGAAGAATCCATTTCTTGAGTGCTTCCTCTTGAGCAATTCTTCTTGAGAAACGTTTAGCCATTTCAATCATAAGATTTACCATAAAATAATAATACATATTTTTATAGTTTTGACGTGGCACTCATGTAACTAAATTATTTTCTTTACCTTGTCAACCCAACTAAATTCTTTACTGCCATAGAGACCCAAAGCTAATTAGTTTTTGCGCACAGTTTTGGCACCATTTTGTGTTAATCAAAAGTTTGGCAGGTCGCACCGTCCCCACCTGTCCTGCTGCACCAGAAACAGCTCGAAAAGTTCAGCCTGCAAGTTGTGTTCGGTTGCCTGCCAGAGAGGTGGAGGAGCGTTTTGTCATTCGTTACAAATTTTTACACATGGTCCAATTAAATTATTTAGACACACACACACATGCATACATACACGACTAGCTCTACATGGGAAGGAGAGCTCGAAATAGTTTTAATTAAATAATAGATATACCCTTGTAGTATCAACACTTTTGTTGGGGTTGGACTCTTTTTAGTTGCAGTTTTGGGCAAAGTTTTTGTCGAGCAAAACGTAACGACTCCCAAGACAAAAGCCTATGGCCGAATAACGGTAAATGTGTGTCAACTGTACCTGGCAAAGGTGTCAGTAAAAGTTCGCTCTCTCCCGCTGTCGGGTGTCTTTTGCTCTTACTCTTCGAGTGCTTGTCAGACATTTAAAATTAATGTGATATGGAGGTGTTTGAGAGCTTACAAGACACAAGCCTGAAGACAAGTCGAAGACATGAAAGACGTTAACACAAGCCCCTCTCCCCTGGGACACGTTTTTCAGCACTGTTTTAGAAGAAGTTTGAACTTTAAAGTTTGCTGATTTTTTTGGCACATGAAAGACCCAGAAAGTAGGCCAGTGAAAACTTCTGCTACACTTAGTTGTAGTCCAGTTTTAACCTGCATTTCGTTTCAGTGGTTGTCCCACCATTTCCGCCCATCAGTGTTGCAAAAGTACCCATAATGAGGCAGACTAATGAGATACCAATGCTCTTTCATTCGCATTGAATTGTTTGCCAATCACTTGAGGTTGCCCCTGCAATGTGACAGTGGGTCTTATCACTTATCTATTTTGAATCAACAAAAAATATGATATCGCAGTCACAAGTTACACAATTATCATCAGATCAGTGATCGGGGGCATGGGAGGGGAGTGCTAATTGCAGCCACACTGATGGACTTTACAGATAAAATATAAAATAGGACAATCACATGTCAATCTAAAACGAGTCATAATACCAAGAAAATCAAGACAGAACTGATCAAGTGAATGTGAGCTTATATTTGAAGTGGTGCAGACTCATAAGATCTTCACGATCTTTGTTCTAGCTTACTCTCTGTGCATTAACCAACACTGGTGACTCATGGTTTATCGTCGTTTATCTGAATGCTTTCAGATATCACTTCAGTTTGATTGATTACCGCCTTATGTCGCAGGGGTAATTATTCACTGGGCATTGCGCGGTCGCCTCAGTCGCTGATCTGTGGTCAAGTTACGCGCAACATATCCACGCATAATGTTGCCAAGGAGTCAAGCTTTGGGTGTGGTCTGTCTTCTGCTGGCCGTACTGCTGGGGCCACACACCACAACAGCTCAAGATGATGTTGTTACGGACTGCAGTTTGAGCACTAGTATGGCCCTGGAATTGGATAAGGTGAGGCGCAGTGGAAACTGCCCATATAGCCTCAAGTTAAACTCGAGTATCCTTTTGTAGTTTGCTGGCATTTGGTGGGAGGTTGCACGTCTGCCATCCACTACTTATTTCTGCACCGAAGTGAATTTCACAGTGTTGGATCAGCCCAATGACAATGTCCTGATTGACACAACCTATGGCGTCTCCCCGGACTATCCGTGGGTCAATCAGACCATGAACGCCACCCTCACAGTGCAAAATATGACAGAGGCCCCGGATGGCTACAATTTTACGTACTGGAATCCACCCAACTACTCCCCGTACACCGTGTTCAAGGTGCTCTTTACCGACTACACGGACTTTGCCTTTATCTGTGGCTATACCAATGCCACGGATAATTCGACTTCGTTTGGCGTGGTTCTCACCAGGGATCGCACACCCTCAGCCGATACCCTGAACCAACTGGAGGGCAATGCCTCGGCTAAGTATCCCTTTAACTTCTTGAACGGCACCATGTCCGCGATCACTCAGGGTCCAACGTACGTATTTGGATCGATAGCGATCCATCATGTCTAATATTTGGATATCTTATGGCCATAGTTTTGCTTTTTCCAGTTGCTATGCCCCCAGCAGTGGCAATCCCCTGACGATGATCTCCGTTTTCTTGTTGGCTGTGACTGGACTTTTGTGGCTGGTGGATGCTCGTCATTGAATGTTTTAAAAACTTTTGTTTTTTTCAGTAAAATTATTAACCAACACTGATTGAAGCGTTGTTCAACACTTGACAGGCAATAAAAAGCAACAGAGCGTTCAACACTGACTCACACCTAAAAACTAAACAAAGAGACGGGGCTCAAAATTGTTAAAAAATAATTACTCAACACTGAAAAAACATTAACCAACACTGAACCATACTTCAAACTAATTAAGGAAACTGCTAACCGCAGCACTGAAATATGATCAAAGAAATGACGTACAGCATTACACAACACTGACTAGCACTGAGCACTGATAAATCACTGATCATTAATGATTGCATGCTATCTTGGTACCAGTTTATTGGATTTCCCCCATTTTTATACCCTTTCAGAGAGTATTAGGCTTATTAAGCTGATATAAAATGTTATTAATTTCCTTTTTAGCATAGACTTGCGTAGAAATACAGTCATATCTATTGTCTGGCGCTTTCTAGGAATTGTTTTAACGCCACTTATTTAAGTAAAATTTATAGCAAACAAACAGTCGATCGATCGCTCAGGGTATCAAAGGCTTCGATGAGTAGGAGCTTCCTTCCTTCCTTTCTGGTTTTCTGCTGTGTTTTCTTCTGTACATTCTGATTGCATTTTATCAAAACAAAATAAAAAATAGTCTCACTATCTGCTACGGGTTTTTTGCGTTTCCGATTTCTTTTTTTTTTTTATTTCTCACTTTTAATGTCCAACGCTGACTCAGTGCGTTGGCTGTGATAAAAAAGAATCACATGTGCGATGCTCTCTGGGGAAGAGACACAAAGGCATGGGGTTGGTAGATCGTCAAAAGATTTAGATACAACAACGTGTGCGAGAATTCAATTAAATAGAGGTCGGGGTTTTGATAAGAAAAAGTAAACTTTTTCCTTGGATGAGTAATGCAAGAAGTCATAGAAAAGACTGGAAAAACGCTGCTGAAATTGCAGTCAAATTTGAATGAGTTAATAAGGAATTTAAGGTGAATTTTGAAAGATTTGCTTGTATAGATTTGTTAATGCATTGTCAGTCGTTGAAATATCAGAAAATTTTGATAGTTTTGGGTAACTTTTAATAGCTGTAGTACTCTATGATTATATTACTTTAAAACGAATCTGTTAAGAACATTTTATATTTAAATTGTATTATTCATTCGACTCTTTCCTGCAGTCATCAAATTTAAATAAAAATATGCAAATAACTTTCGAGTAATCGTTTAATAAACGAACAATCCTCTCTCATAAATGTAGGATTTTCAAATGTAAACAACTTTCATATGTCTGTACAAACACCATAAAGATAGTCACAATTTATAATGGAAAATGTTCAGGTTCAACCAAACCAAAAAATAATGTGTTGAATCAATTAGACAATGCGGCTATTTCGGGACATGTTAATAATTTCCTGGAAAATCTACTGTGGCCATGTCAATGAGCTTTAAGGCTAAGGTTGCGGACTGGGGGGAATTTTCTACAGGTAGCGCCCCCGAAAAGGAACATGTAAAACCAGCAAAAAAAAAACTACAACTGATAGCCATAAAGGCCAAGGAGCTTACTCATGCCTCGATAACAGCGCCTCTCAGATGTACGTAAATCGTTGACGGAAAATATGTATCTATGTGTATGTGTTCTTGGGTGCAGAGGTTCGATAATGGGGTGCAAAAAAGAGGACAAGAGATACTCCTACTCATGGCTATAAAAGCAAGTTCTGTGTGCGATCCGACCTCAGTTGAACGACGCACTTGCAGCGAAACGAACGGAGTAGAGCCGGAAGAAGAAGTTAAATCGATATCACTATATAGTGAAAGAAATATATATATATCTATATAGAAACAGTGTGAGATCATCATGTGCAAAAGTGTAATGATTTGTTTGGCCATCGTGGCGGCAGTCCTTGTGTTTGCGGTGCAGGGACAAACACCACCAGCGACTCCCGCTCAATGCAGCAGTGTTGTCAGCAGTTTGGGTTTCAACAATACCAACGTGAGTGCAAAAAACTATATAGTATAGAAACCCAGCATCAAAGCTAATGTTTGCCCTTCCCAGTTGATGGGTACCTGGATCGAGGTGGCCCGCAATCCCGCAGCTAATGTTTCCTGCATTAAAATCAATGTGGATCTGTGGAATAACACCAATCTTCTGGTCAACATCAGCCACTCGAGCAGCCTCCAATCCTTGTACATGGATGTGAACGAGAAGGCCAACATTACACTGGCTACGGACGTGGCCGCCTCAACGGCTGGCTACAATGTGACATTCACAAAGAATGGCCAGAGCGAGACACCCGTCTACATTAAGCTGTTGTCGACTGTCGACTCCGACAAATATCTGTTGGGCTGTGCCTACACGGATGCCAACAATAATGCAACTAGCTATGGATTTATTCTGTCACGCGGCGGTTACACGGCGGCAGGCATTGAGGCGGCCAACAATAATGCCTCACTGTATTACAGCAACTTCCTGAATGGCACCTACAGCAATGTCACGCAGCTTGGGTGAGTAATCGAAGGCCAAAAACCTCCTAAAGATCTTTCCAAAGTTCTTTCTAATTCGTTTTATTTCTTTCTTTCTTTTTTCTTATAGCTGCTATGCCAGCTCTGCCAGTCAGACGCTGCCTTTGCTCACTGGCTTCCTCGCTGTGGCCATGGCTCTGATCTTCAAGGCCTAAACAGGCAGGCACACACACACACACACACACACCCCTCCACGACACAATCAAATGTAGATTTTTCCAACAAAAATAACACACAAAAAAACCCCAACCAAAAAACCAAAATCCTTGCCTAAGTTATTACGTCAGCTGTTTTATTTAGTTTTTAGTTTACTTTAAAAACTTCCATCAATAAAAAGAAACAGAAACGATATGGAGAAGCGCTACACCCACACACACACACACACACACAAACACTCAACAAAAATCTGAAGCTCGATAAAGAATGATGAGGAGCAGCTCCTCCAATCAGTGCCTCCAATTTGCTTGAAAAACTTGTAGCCCACAAAATGCGTGATAAGATAATGAGAAAAAGACACACAAAAAAATACAGAAAAAAATAGATAACAAAATTTATGATGACTCTTTGGGTGTACAAATTCCATAGATACATTGTCGTTTCATATCTTCCGTTTTTCGTGTTGCCAATTTATGTACAAGCCCGACCGTAAATCAATCATACGGGCTCCAATGCCCCGCCTGCTAATATGTTTCCTGCCACCTGATTAACCGATTGACAAATCACTGCCACAATTTTGCTTTACGATTCCGATTTCGTTGCGTTAATTACTGGCCCCCGATCACAGCGTCGGTGGTTATCGCTGCTCGTTCGCTGATTTTGTTTGGTTTATCTATGGACTATGGCTGGCTATTGTTTTTTGTACACCCTAATTAGGGTCATTATGTGATAGGATTGCTGTGGTTCAAGTGGTTTACAAGCGCTGCTGTGATTGGGGGCATGGCAACGGTAGCCGTTTGAAGTAGTTTTTGGAGCCCACAATCAATGGACAAAATTTAATTGAGTTTGCGGTAGGACAGAGAAAAAAAAAGCACCGATTTCTTGGAATAAAGGCGAATATCTGATTAGTATGACATAACAAACCAAAACAGGTGGAACTGTCACTAGCAGGCGGACAGATTGAAGATAGCCCTGCCCTTGGCTTAGTGCTAGATAAAGATATCAGCATATTGGAGTTACTTTCTCATAGCGCACTTAATCAAATGTCATCTATGAAAAGAAAAAAGACACGCAGACACTCCAGCAGACACTTAATTGTCAGATGGCAAGAGACAACTCACTCTGCCAGCAGGCCAGTGCTTTTTGGGTTCTGTGATTTGTTTAGCCTTCGCTCTACCCAAAACCCCATGCTCAAGTTCCTCAAATCAGATACAAAATCCCCTTTGCTGTGTAGCTTCTTCTGGCACTTATCGGAGCTTCCAGCTGGGGAGCTGCTGTTGCTGCTGATTTCATGTTTATTTATTCTGCTTTCAACCCAATCAACCCACACACACTGCCTTCCCCTCGTAGATATACAATATACAATACCGATGCAAACAAAAACCCACACTTATGCAAACAGAAGGCCACTAAATCACTGAACACTCGGTACTGGCATTTACACTCAAGCAAGGACTCTCCTGGCTGCTGCTCTGGTGTTCCTCTCTCCTCGATGATTTCTTTTGTTGCTGCTTGACCCGCGGCTTCTGCTGTCTTCCTACTTCTTATGGCTGCTTTCCCTTTCTCCTTTTAGAGTACGGGACACCCCACTTCTGTCTTCGGTCTTCGCTTTGGTTTATTTGTTGGCACAATTTGGTTACATTGTTTGCTTACAATCTTCAGCATTGTTTGCCCATGTTGGGTGTTTCTCTTGTTGTTGTTTGGTATTCTTGAAATCAAGTTTACATCGATTAAGTAGCTGTAAAATCAGTTGCCCAAGAATAACACAAAAGAAAACCAACCCGCCCCAGGCCACCCTTCACACAAAGGTATCTGCTGGATATACAAGGTAAGCCCCCACAAAAGAAGATGTTGTCATAATTCGTACAAAAATCAACTAAAAGATGCAAAAAGTTTATGGAAAGTGAAAGATCTCTGTTTAGTTTGGATGAAAGATAATAAAATTGATCGATATGATGTCGATATTGAATTTATTACAGATTGATAATCGATAATATCGATAATATATCTACAACATATCGACTACAAATGGATCACAAATATATTATTTATGACTATTTCTAAAGTTGATTTATGGAATTTCCAGGAGAAATTTTTAAAATATCGATAATTTATCGATAAAATGTCGTTTAATCTAAATTCAAATTGTTAAGTTAGGAATAGAGAGTCCCATATTTTCCCAATGTTTTTGTATACTATCGATTATAAAGCGATGATTTATCGCCTTGAAGTTAAAGAAATATCGCTGAAAAAATATCCGACTTCTAAGGAATTTTTTTTCTTTAAGATTTTATTAAAAAAAAAAAAATGTAAGCTCCTTACACTTGTGAAAACCGATTTCCCTGTTGCTACATTGATTTTCATACATTTATCCGACGAAGCGGAGCATATTTCCTTTTACAAATATTCTCCCAGAACCTCCCAAGA